CCCCCCCCCCCCCCCTACCCATTAGACCGCAAGGACTGCAGCAAGGCGGCGCGCGAGCATCTTCCTTCTCGTCATCCATCAGATCCCCGGAACACGCTCCCTAATACACGTAAATCTTGCTATTCTTGCGCCCAACATGTGGTCTTGCTCACAGCCAATGTGATCGAGCCCAAAACCAGGCACAACGCTCGCCTGTCTCTCCGGGGACAAGATGCATTCCACCAGCAGTAAACCCGAAATAAATCAGGGCGTCAGATACAAGCGACGAATTTTGTAAAGGATATTTCTATACAATGGTGGGGCGTCAACAACGCCGGCTGATTAGCGCCGGTGGCCTAGATAGCGCTGGTGAAATTGCTGGACACCACACACTGAGTCACCACGTCATTCTGTACATCGCGGGTCCATCTGAACAGCGTCACTCGCTGCTCCAGGCACATACCGGCGTCATTGAGGGTCCTCCACTACCGTAACACAAAATTTACTGCGCGCACGTACCTCTGTTATGCAGCGGCTTTCACACAGACAGGAGCGAGAGACGCCAGGAAAGAACACGGATATACATACGTACGTCTCGAAAACTGAAAATAAAAGCAGGCAGGTGCGCCGCGGGCAGGAGGCCTTCATGGAGGTGGAGGCGATTCTTTGCCCAACACCGCACAGGTGTAGTGCGACCTTCTGCTGCCCTTGAGACGACAACACGGGAAAGAGGAGAAGTTCGTTACATGCACACCGAGACGCATCTCTGAGCAGCCTCGTCCCCTCCTGTCCCCTCTCATACCGCGCTAACGCAGAACGTTCTCTGCTGAACTCTCCCGTTATGGGGGAATCAAGAAACGAAAAAATGATCTCCGTTGTTTTAAGAGACTACGAGAGCTGCCTAAGTTTTCCTTCGTCCATCATGTACCTGAGGGGTAAGCGAGCACCGCATCAGGAAAGTAGCCGTTCAGACGACCTTCTCCTATCCCCCTCCAATCTCTACGTGCTTCTGCCTCGCCTGTTTTGCTCGCCCCGGCTCCCCAACCCCAACCCCGACCCCACCCTCAACCTTCCCCATTTCCCCTGGTACTGTTTTGTGTGCCCCATAAAATAATGTACAAAAATTTAATCTACATACAAGAGATTTTCCTGTAGCAAAATATCTCCCGTTCGTGACCGGGGGCCCTTCACCTGTCCATCCGCGTGCCCCCTTCTCCGTTCTTGCCTCCGAATTTACCCCCGCTTCGCTTACCCCGACCCCGCTGAGCAGCCGCTGCCGCGAGCCGCGCATGTGGTCGCTGCACCAAGTTCCTCTTCCAACCAAATATCCCATCGCCCGCCCCCCCCTCTTCATTGCACAAAACAGTGTACTACCACTCCAACCAAACACGTCGAGCGAAGCAGTGTCGAACCCACCCCCCTTCCGTTCAATAAACAGCCCTCCCCCCAACGTTCCGTAGAAGAGGCAAACAAACCCTTGGGATACAATCCAACTCGCCAGTGAGAATCCCATAAAGACAGAGCTTATTCTTTGGCGGCAGAGCGTCCACTCTAGTGGCCTATCCCGGCCCACCCTTCGGCCAGGCCGATCGCCACCACCCCCGCCGCCCCGGCGGCCAACGCCGCCACCTCTAGGACACCCTGGACGGGTCCGCCGACGTCCGCCGGGATGGCGAGGACCGGTCCGAGGACCGGTCCGGAAGCGAGGTGAAAAGTCGCTCCGGCGGACAGGGCGAGGCAGGCGGCGAGGAGGCCCTCGGGGAACGCGCCGGCCCCCAGGCTGATGGCCACCCCGAGAAACACGCCAGCCGCGGTGGTGTGCTGGATGTGGATCGCGTGGTGCTTGCTGTGGTAAAGAAAGGGGCGCAGGGGTGAGGGGGGGGGCAGGTCGCTGAAGAAGATCAAGCATGCCGTAGGTGTTTGGCCAAAGGAAGGTGGGGTGTACTCACACTCATGGTCGTGCATGCCATAGTCGTTAGACCATTGGCCTCGCATCCCTACAAGGCCGGGACGGAGCTCTCACCGGACCAGGCTCTCACATCACCACGCGCGAAGCGCCGTGAGGTATTCGGCGAGTCGAATGAAGGATGCGCTGCGTCTTGCCAAGGGTGTTCGGCATCTTGTGCTTTCTCTCTTGCATACGAATGACAGCTGCGAATGACTGAACTTATTTTTTGGTGCTTTCACTTCCCAAAGACAGTTCTGAGCACTGTGTAACTGCCTGAGGGTGCTTGACCAATATAATACAACGTGTTGCGAGTATCCCCTTTGCGCGGAGTGAGGATTCTCGACCGTGCACAACACAATCTACTCGACTACCATTCATGGTTACCGCAAAAAAAAAAACGGTCAAATAAATAAGCGGTAACCTGGTTGCCGAGCCCACGAAGTGATCGGCTTATTTTACTACGTGATTGCCATGCGACGAAATCCCAACCCCAATGGCAAACACCGAGGGGGAAAAGGAAGTTGGGGGGGGGAGCAAACCTCGACTATTGGCTGCCTCAAGGTCGTTCGGCGATTGACCACGGATCACAGTACAGATTGGCAGGAGGAGGGGTGAGTGGTCGGCTTTGGAAGCCCTAACAAACACGCATCTAAATCCCCCGCGCGCGGCAAGTCACGTGACTGATGAAACTGCCGAGAGGTAGTGGTGTGCATGCACCCTCTGTCCCTGTGTTTTCTCGGCCACGAATTTTGCGCTGGTTCAATCGGGAAAACATGGAATTCCAATCTCGTGCAGCTAGTAAGTTTCGTCTGCTTCACCGCCTTGAAAATATACATCTGGGAGCAAACCAACAACGGACGAAACTCACCGGTTCGGAAGACTTTGTGCACCTGATCGGCCCGTCTCTTCAATGTGTTCAACATCGAATGAACACGAAATTGGACTGCATTCAGTATTTTTTTTTTTTTCTTTGTATACCTCATGCCGCACTGGACTAGCGTCGCTACGTCGCCGATCTCGTGCTGCACCTCGTGCACCAGCTTCAGAGCAGCAGTTGCGTGCCCCACCGCGTCGCCCCCCACTGCGTACGCCGCACCAATCCTACCAAAGCAAGAGCAACGGGAAAAAACGACGGGCAAGGAATACGGCGGGGGTCACTGAAGGGAACGGAGAGAGGATAGCGCGGACAGTCGACGTGGTGAGGTTGACCTCTGCTGCAGGCGCGGTAGAAAATAACACAACAACTAGAACGCGGATCAAGGCAAAGCTGATCGGATTCATTCACCCGAAAGTAACATCATCACTTGACGAGGCCAAGCCTGGAAAGGTTTCAACGCACCCGATCCCATCGATGAGGTTGTGCAAGAAGTCCACCGCCAGCGTCACGTACGCCCCAGCATCAGCCGGTCCGTGGTCGTGGTGGTATTGGTGGTGGTCGCCCTTAATGCAGGCTGCGTCGCCCCTACCGCCCCTCACCAGGACGGCGTGTCCTTTCGAAACCGCGGCATCTGTTGCGCGTCCGCCGAGCACGCGTCGGGTCGGGCGTGTTCAGGGCTGCCATGCCGTCGATTCGCGCCAAGCGACCGAGGTAAACAGGGCGCTCGGTGACACATAAAGAGACACGGACAACAGCAGAAGCAGCAGCAGCAACAAAAACAATACAAAAAAAAACAACAACAACAACAACAACAACAACAACAACAACAACAACAACAACAACAACAACAACAACAACAACAACACAACAACAACAACAGCAACCTCCCCCGCAGTCGACTCCCACACCTGCCGGCGACTCCTCTTGCCCGGTGGCAGCATCCTTCGGGTTCCCGTACAGCGTCAGCTCCGGAGACGACGGCGCCGCCACAGCCGAGTCTGACGACGAGGCAACTTCCGGGAAGAGCTCCGCGACTTCGGGCGCTCCGGGTCGGCAGGACTCCGAGGAGGCAGTACTCACCCTCTTCTCTGGGGTCTGCGATATGCACGCGGAGGCGAGCATGGCCTCGGCCGCGCTCCCCTCGTCCTCGACGCTGGCGCTCGAATACTCCAGCAGCTCGCGGGTCGAATCCTCCGGTTCTTCTTCTTCTCCTCCTCCACCTCCTCCTCCTCCTCCTTCTCCTCCTCCTCCTCCTCCTCCTCCCTGTTTTCGTTGCTGCTGCTCGTCGTCTTCTTGTTGGCCCTCGCTATTAGCGTCGGTGGTCTCGCCGGCAGGGACGGCCTCCCCGCTGTCGCCCAAGACGGCGGCGGCGGTAACCGCGGCGGCCTCCTCTTTGTTACCCGCGGCGGCCTCCTCTTTCCCCTCTTCAGGCGGCGCCGCCGCCGCCTCCGCCGCACCGTGCTGCCGTTGCTGGCGGACCCCGACAAACCGGTCGATCGCGAACGCCGCCAGGAAGCCCACTGCGATGAGAGTGCACGCGTCGGCTAGGCTCTCGTGGCCATGATCATCGTGGTCGTGCTTGGGCAGGAAGAGGTGGGGGAGGAGGTGGAGGGCGGCCTCAGCCATGAGCCCGCCCCCCGCGAACGCGAGCAGGAGGCGCTGGATCTGCACCGGCACNGGGGGGGGGGGGGGGGGTGAGGCGAGAAGGTCGAACCCTGTACGGCTGTGAAGGAAAAGAACTACGGACGTGAGAACCTTGGGGTAGAGACAAAGCAAACGAGCACCACCGCCGCCCTCCTCGCTGGGATGTTTTGTTTTCTGGTGTTCCTGTCCTGCAACAAATAACTCATGTGTTGCTTTGGGCAAAAAACAGCATGCCGTTGCTCAAAAACTGCGCAAGACATGCTCTTTTTCGAAATGCTGACACAACGCTCCCCCCCCACCCCGTAAAAAAACCCTCATCGCGAAACCACTTGAGCCAACCGCGTGGCCCCTGCCCGTGCAATGGTACACCTCGGCACGGCACTCTCCCGCCAGTCGCGCAGTCCGCGCAAACCTCCCCTCGTCAAAAACACCATGAAAAGAAAAATATTGGACGCGGTTCTTCTCCTGAGACATAAGGAAACGAAGCGACCCCTCTCTCATCCGAGCGTGGCGGGCCCGCTGAGCGAATGATGGATGCACCCAGAGAAATCGTAGAGCTCGACCGAAAAGCGAAGACCAAAGCAATACAACCGATCCCCGGTTGACGCCCATCCCCTCGTGTGTCTACTATAATATCCTTTCTCTCACCCGTCCCGCTTGGGAACCTGCACTGGACACATCCCGGACGTCGACCTTGGATGTGGGCACGTACTCCAGGACCAAAGCGGGGCCGAAGGCCACCACGCTGGCGGCCGCTAGCACCTGGGCACCCGGCCGGTTTCGATTAGGGCACGCGACAGCCGTAGTGGCATTGCATATTTCAAGCCACAGTTTTCTTCTCAGAAAGTATGCATGCAACCACAGAAATGCTAGCCGTTCGATACATAACCACAGCAGAAGCAGTAGTTCAAGGGGAAGTATTGTTATACCACGTATGACACAAGATAACACACCCCCTGGACCGATTTTTAAAGCTCGATTACTCCACGACGAAGAGGATGCATGAACGAAATGATACATTTTCGAAAAGCTCTCGACGAGACGGTTTTAACGCCGCCGTTTTCGGCGCTGTGACTGTTCCTGCAGTTGAGAAATCGAGCTTTGAAAATCGGTCAAGGGGGTGTGTTATCTTGTGTCATATGCGGTATCTTTGTGCTCGGTGTCTCAATCACATTTCCTTTGGGCTTGGGCGTTGATTACTACTGATTTCAAGTGTTGGATGAGGTGCAAAGGCCAAGATCTTTCGTGCGATCCGGCCTTGGAGTTAGAGCTGAAGAAGGCAGGAGAGGCTGAAATCGCCAGCGACGGTTACTCACTGGAATGGCGACAACAGAAGAGGAAACGTCGTTTGTGTGCTCGTACACCGGTCAATTGAATGCTTCACCACGGAGTAAATAGTCATAGGGAACCTGTACGCGAAGGAATTGCTTGATTCCAAATCACGGAATGATTGTGTTGAACTCCTCGTGCGAGAGGGAGTGGCCCACGTCCAAGGCTACATGACATCGAGAACAACAAGCAGGCCCCGATAATGCGCCCAGCTCGGCGGGAGCTAACAACGAACCCGGTGGGGTTGGTCGTGAGTGTTTCAGCAGTACGTGCAGTGCTGTAACACATACACAAAAACAATAGAGAAGGCCGGCTTAAATGAACCCTTCTCGCGTTGAAAGTTTGTGGCAAGGCAGCACCGCTAGACGGAAGGCGGATGAAAAAAGTGTCAATGTCAATGTAAAGCCCCAGCTGGCACGTATCTCACTAGTATACAGAGAGGTATAATTGGCGTATACCTCTATTACTTCTATTACATCTTTGTACTGCGGTACATAGAGTATACAAGTATCTTCTGCTGTTGGGGGATGAACGCACCGACCTACTATCCGTCGTGTGTCTACAGCAGTGCTACTCCATCGAAAAACAAACACCAATAGCTCCTCTGTGCGGCAACAGATGACAGGGCCAACAACACAGAGAGCAGATGCTTAAGCAAGAAAAAAAGAAACGAAGCAAGGGGCCTCCAAGTGGAAACCATGGAATACCCCTGATTTACGTGTCAATCTTGGTCGCGGGGGAGAGGCCTTGTATGTACCCGGAGGAAACATTTTGACCAAATCCCCGGGGTTTCCAACATTTTTCGCGCGTTTTTTCAGCGCGCGCACACGCGCGCACACGGGATCCCACGTAGAGCTAGTGGAAATTGTGGAACACCCCCTGGTTACGCTTCAATCTTGGTCACGATGGGGGGAGGACATAGTATGACCATGCCAAAGCCTACACTATGAATGGAATTAATGGATTTTGGAATGCGGCACAAAAGCTTTTACAATGAAGATCATGTTGGTTTTAATATGGACACACTAATTCCTATACAAAAGACTGCTGCAAGTGAGCCACCTAGAGTGACGATCCTGCGTGTCAATCTTGGCCCGGGGGGGGGGGGGGGGGGCTGGAGTGTTCCACGGTTTCCACTTGGAGGGCCCCTTGGAGAAAGGAAGAAAAACAACATGCCGTCATCCCAATCCCCGAGTAATGGCGAAGTAAACAATGGTTGCATTCGGGCAGCAGACGTATGCGCACGTGTCACAGACATCAAACTGCTGTAGAGCCGCGCTGAAGTCCAGCCTAGGTGGTTGAGCATGCCCCTTGCAAACGCGAACATCAGCGAGGAGCTTGTTCGAAGCGAGCGGTGCCATGGGCCCGTGTAACCAAAGACAGAGCGTAGGCGCGTCGCAGCATGGTATAGGAGCATTTGACGCGTCCGCGTGGGGGTTGACGTGTTCCAAATGTGGTCCCCACCAGGTCCAGCACCTCACGGATTCACACTTGTCGCACTGAGGTTTCAGTCGTCATGCTGTAAAAACTCCAGCCTAGGCCACATGATCGTAACTGGCTTTCATCAGGGGCATGCGTGCCTTCCCAAGGCCCATCGGTATGTCACGGGGGTGTCTAGCAGCGAGAGGGAGGGTAAAACATGAGCAATGATGACCAGATCTAGACTGGGTAAGCGAGCGACGAATTTGAAAACTTCAACTTTTCCTCCAGCGTACCTTCGCCAGAAAGAATATCGTGCCCTCAGAAAGCAGCTCTTCCAGTCCCATGCTAGATAGGTCCCATTGCACGGCTGCGGCACGCATCTTTCAGGCGTGATCAGGATCGGGCAACGCTAGTACGCAGTGTGATGTGGAGGAGTGCTGTGTGAGAGCTCTCCGGTCTCCCGATTCCCCCGTAGCGGTCGATGACATCATCACCTTTCATTCACGGAGCCCCGAATCTCTCCGCGCCTGATGGTTGGTTCCATCAATTTTTTTGCTCGGTAAGCCCGCTCGCTCTCTGTGTCTTGCGCTTGCCCCCCCTCGTCATTTCCCGCTGAAGCGTGCTCACCTCTCATCGAAGGGTGCAGATATATCAAAGGTAAGAGAGAGGGGGGGGCAGGGGGGAGGGCGCGTCGGTGATTTGAACGGAGGCGGGTATCTTGAACGCGGTAGGGTTTGTTTGGGAAAATAAGTTTTTCAAAAGTAGAGAAACGGCGGAACCATCAGCCAATCTGTTCAGTCGTAAAACTGGCCGTTTGATATACGCCCATGTGGCCGGTGTGCAAAGCGACTGCCATAGACAGAGACACCCAGTAGAGGACTGAATCCGTGCTGCTGTGTTCCTTACGAACTGCACCAGGTCGTGACGCCTCGGATTGAACGAAAACGGGGTTTTTCGCGTGTCAACTTCCCGATGTAGACGTATGTCTACATGTCGACGACTTCAACTCTCGATGTAGCAGTTGATCACGCTCATCGCAAACAAGCAGAAGTCACGGCTCGTGCGTCGGCAATGTGCACCCAGGGCTTGCTAATGCGCGCTTGCCCTAGCACTGGGTCGTCCCACCCCACTCTTTTTCCACGGAGTCACGTATGCCTCTCGTATAAGGCGACATTTTGAACGAGAAAATGTTTGCACTGCTGTACTACTTCTGACAGGGTTGATCACGCCGCATATCGGAAAGATCACAGGCTCTCTCGTGGCACCTACCATTGCGCAGCCTCTCTGTTGACCACCGTGCCCACGTTGACCTAATGGTCTTGGCACCCACAGTGCCTGGACATTTAGCATGAATACGTCATCAATTTGATTTGTGTATCAGCCTGCGCTGCTTGTGTTCAAGCATGCGACCTGAAACGACGAACAACTGACTCTTTTTTTCTTCGGTTTGTCCGGCAACCTTTGCCCACTGCAAGAAACAAATCGTCCTGAACGAAGAAACGATGAGCATCATCCGCAAATAGACGCAGGCTAGGAGTTGTACTCCACAGGTTTTACCGTGGTCGAACGGTGGGACGGACGTGCAGTTCAGTGTTTGGGCACGCATACGGTGCTGCAGGGGTTTTTAGGTGTACCTCTTCGGGCTCTTGATTCCCTTTTTCTCGTTATATGTGTGCGTGTTCTTTAGATCCTCAGATGGCTCTAGCACTTTCGTGACCTCGGGCCGAGAGTCTTTGCTAGATTTTGGCATTTAGCAACTGACATACGGTTTAATATGAAGACAACAACAACAACAACAACAAAGCAGACGACAGTAGGGAGGGCTCGTATGTGGACTCGTCACCTGCCGTTCAAAGATACATTTTTCCGAGATTGCGGTCGCAATGGGTGGAGAGTCTTATAGGGACCCGATTCGCAGGGTATCCGTCGATTGACTTTTACCTGAATCGGTACATCTTCGCACAAGCCTGAAACATGCTCGCCCCATGTCAACCCGTGCTATAAACATCCGCACCGTCAGGTTTGTCAGTCCCGCAGATTTTTTTTTTTAGAAAGATCGTTCCTGTTCCGAAAGTTCGCGGAAAAGCGGGTGATTGCCATTCAGAACAGATGGCAGCGTGTGCCATTACTTCGGGTTGTCGGCTACACAGAAACAATCACCCGGTATCTGTGTCGGAGGGATAAATCGACCGGGCAGTTAGCTTTGGAGGCGGCGAGTTGCGCATATTTTCATAAAGAAAATTCATGTAATCTGAATTTGACGCAGTTTGTCCGCGTGCCGCAGGAGGAGTGCGCCTTGCAGTAAATAGTATCACGCCAGGTTGACACACGCCGATCAGATCATCAGCAAATTGCGTTGGGCCTGCGATTTCAACTACCCGAGGGTGCACAGAGAAGGGCAGTCGGGAACGTTGCTCTCTGTCGACGGTCGACAGAAGAAGCCGTCGTCCTCGGTAAGCAGCTGCGGTATTCCTTCACGGCGCTGCCCGAAACCTTCGGCCGGACGCGATGCAGCGGAACCGGCGCCACTTGCAGCTGTTTTTCGTTAGAACAGCTCGCACCAACGTAAAACACTGTACCAGTGAATACACGCTCACGAGATATCGCGTGCGACGACAATCAATCACAGCAGTTGCAGCTGCGAACGACGAACCGACCCAAACGAACATTGCCTGCGTGTGTGTCCCGATTCCCCGCTTGCCCTGAACATTTCTACAATCTGCCCGCTCCTGTTGCCCGCCTTTTCAGCGACAGTCTTCCGCAGAACAGTGTTCACGGAGAGAGAAGAACTCACCCCAGCCCACCTGAACGCAGCTTCGGCGCATAAACTTACGGCGGACAGTGTTAGGAGAGCGGTGGCGGAGAGACGGAAACAGGGAATAATGGGCACGATGCGGATGGACCGTGACCCTTTGCAAGACGTCTGCGGCAGCGACAACAGCAGCTCCGCCTATGGCAACAAAAGCGGTGTCCACGAGAGCGAGAAGATGGCGGGTGGATGCCCGGCGGCGGCGCCGGTGGCGGCGGCGGAGGAAGCGGGGGAAGGGGATGGTGCCATCGGTGGCCAGGGGAGGATGCTGCTTACTCTTCCTGATGCTATGCTGTCGGAGATCTTGGGTAAGCGTGTAGCGGTACATGTGTTGTTCATTTCGAGAAACAGGTCGCGCTGCTTCGTCGGCGATAGACAAGAAGAGATTTAATATCCCTTCAACCCACAGATTTATTCTTGAAACCCACAGCGCCGAGGCGGTAAGTCAGCAACTCGTGGGATGGGCATCGTGTCGAAAAGAACTTTTTTTTTTACTTCGGGACATGGCACTTGCCATCAAACGTGGCATGAACGTCTCCTGGTACATTTTTTTTTTTTTTTTCATCCCATCGTGGTGAACCCCTCGCGGCTTCTTTCTATCGTTTCGGGACCCTTTTTGTTTCTGCCGGCCGGACGAATACTTCCTGCCGACGTCGCTTCGAAGGATGCTTGCCTGAACTTCAACCTCAACCTTACGTGTGCAAGGACTAGCGAATGGGAGGTGCCATTCCCTCGTTTCCCTCGACTCCCAGACCCCCCGTCTACCTCGACCCCTCCTGGTGCACACCTCGGAAACAAGTCCACAGACGCTATCTCCCGCCTTCGCCAGCAAACCCGATGTTGTAGAGAACATCACGGCCTCAGCCACAACCCTAGCTTCCAATCATTTGTCGCCTCTTTCCCACAGGGAACCTGAGGGAACCTGGGCGTCAATACCACGCGGCCACCTCCAAAACCTCCTTTGGCCTGACACCCTATATTTTTTTCGCCGCGCACACACACACACACACAGGGAACCTTTGCGTCAAGGGCCTCGGCCGCGCGGGCTGTGCGTGCCGTGGTCTCCGCGACACTGCAGATGACGAGCGGCTTTGGGTCTCTCTCTGGGAGGGACCCCTCCCCGGGGGGTTCCTACGCGGCGAGAAGGCGGCGCACGTTGCGCTTTGGCTCCTGGCGAAGGGCGAAGTCGAGCAGGTGCTGCCTTGTGTTGTTTTATTTTTTGCTTGGTGTTTGCGTGTGCCAACAGAGTTCAGTATGTTTCCGTTTCCTTTGTCAGACGGCAAGCGGTGATTCGTTGGTTTTATGCGCCGCGGTTGGTCGGAAATGGATAAGCGGCTGATGTGCTCTCCCTCTCCCTCTCCCTCTCCCTCTCCCTCCCCTCCTTGCGCCCCGCACCCAACAACGACGGTCGTCTCCACCGCCCGCTCACGGTAGACGAGGGTGGCGGTCAGCGAGCCCTCATCGCCGACGAGAACCGCTAGCCGGCGACGCGTGGGGGAGGCAGGCACCACCGGCGGTGGCCTCGGTCAGGGTCACGGAGGTGCTCACGGCGAAGAGGGGACACCTGGAGGAGGAGCAGTATCAGTGTGCGCCGGATTCCCAGTGCAAATCTCCTGCATGGCCATCAGCGGAGCTGTCATCGCCACCGCGGCAGGTGAGAATATTTTTTTCCGCGCCTCTTCGCTGGCATAATCATTTTGGGGGGTGCTGTGTAGCGTACAGGCCGGGGTACTTTTCGGGTTTATCCTCGTTTCAGAGGGCATTTCCACCAATCGGCCACGGTCCACATAGATGACGATGGTTCGATCTTCTGCTTCAGTGTCGCGCCTCACGTGTATATAACGGTAATCTAGTAGGGAACCATCTATATGGGCGGTGGATGTGTGTGTTTGCCTCTTCTGACGTAAGCGCGCGTGGCAAGGCGGCAAGCGCGAGCACCAAGAGTGGATATTTTCTCGTAAAGTGGTTGGGAAGAAGGAGGAATATACAAGTCCTGTGTGGCCTTCCTTCTGTGAGGCCTTTACCCCCGCCGGTGCGTCCAGAATTGTACTGAACGATGTAAGGATCCACGTCCAGAAGAAATGGAATCAATAAAAGTATTGTGATATGGCCACGGTTGGCGGGATATCAACCCCTCCCCTTCCCGCGCGCCGCGCGGTTCATCTTCCGAACCCCGCTCGAATGACGCCTGCAATTGGAAACCCATCCAGGGCCCGAGATCACGGTGTGGGACATGGAGGGGGCGTCGGCCCCGCGGGCGCGTTTCAAGGTGAGGATGTCCCTCCGAGCGCTCTGCCTGTCTGTTTGTCACTGTCTCTCTCTCCATCTGTCTCTATCTGTCTCTCTCTATCTGTCTCTCCCTCTCTCTTTCTCTCTCTCTCGTCTCTCTCTCTCTTCTCTTCTCTCCATCTCTCACGTGCTGGTCTCGGCAGCGGGTTGTGGTTGGTAACGGGCCGCCAGCAGGCTGTGCCAATACAGTGCTCTATTTTCCCGCACTCGAACGATCTCTCGGCCCCCGTGGCCGTACGAACAGGCGCTCCTTTTTCTAGCGCTGTGCGAGAGGAGTACGGCGGTGCTGCTGATTTTTCCTCCGGCGGAACGAGATACACCAGAGCCCTTGACACCGTTCACACGAATTCTTGCCTTGACCCTCTCTATTTCGTTGTGTCCGCTCCCTGACCGGCGACCATGACCCCGACTTGTCGATGCACGTTCTGGTTCGTCCTTTTCCTACGGACCAAAATGGGACGACCTTGCGCGGCACAGGTTAGCGGGCACGGGAGCGTCACGTGCTTGCTCCTGCGAAACGGCACCTTGCTCGCGGGAGACAACAGCGGCTATCTCAGGTATGAACCCACACACGCGGACGGCGGCCGCATGGTTTTTTGCGTTCGGGGCGATCGGGGGGGAACGCCGCACACTCGTTTGACCCGTGTTGCACTGGCGGTAGTTTTCTCTGGGGGGCGGGGTGCACTCACAGGCGTGCATGCCGTAGTCGTTAGACCGTTGACCTCGCATCCCTTACCGGGACGTAGCGTCTAGCGGGGGGCAATATCGAGCGACGAGAGTACGTCTTCAGGGTCCTCTGGGCAAGATGTTTCCAGGAAACAAGCAAAGGCATAGACACGTTCCTGGGCAAACGCCGACACTCCCGTTCATTCTGCTGTGTGGATAAGTCGAGCGCAGTGAAATCAGCTGGCCTGATCCTGTACGCCGTGCCGTTGGGGTCTACGGTTGGCAGGGGGGGCTGTCATATTTCACTGATGTTGGTGATGTATGAAGCGGTATATTTCCATCACTTCAACCCGCTTTTTTGATATTTTGACGATGAGACGTGCGCCTTTGTCACCACGCGCGCGATGGGTGACGTCAGGTCTTACGACGTGAGCGTGCCCTGCGGAGGAAGGCCCCTGCACGAGATCCGCACCCACGCCGGCCGCGTCACCGCCATCGACGCCTTCACCCTCCCCGTCGGCAGCACCGCCACCGCCGACAGCCCCCTAGCAGAACTGCCTGGCGGCGGCAGCGGCGGCTACTACGGGGGCGGCGCGGCGGCAGGCGAGGGTGGTGTCCGGGGCGGGGGCGCGGGCGGCGGTCAGCGGGGGCGGTGGGACCAGGGCCACGGCTGGGGCGAAGGGTGGCAAGAAGAGAGCGAAAGCGAAGAGGGGGGCCAGCCGCTCCTTCCACAGCCCCACCGCTACGGCAACAGCGGTGCTTCTTCTTCTTCTTCTCCCCCGCCACACGCGTCGTGGGGGGCAGCGGGAGAATGCGTGGGCAGCCGGCAGCACGGGAACGGCGGCGGAACCGGTGCCTCGGGCGAATCCCCGGCGAGCGCCGCCGGCCTCGGCGCGGAGTTCAACCGCCTGCGGCGAGGTTCTCCCCACGGGGGCGGGACCGGCGAGCCGTTGTCGCGGCTCGGGAAGCGGCAGGGGTACGCAGGGCGGGGGCAAGCTTATGAGCCTGCTGGTGCCGCTGTCGGCGGTGGCACACGCATTCGGGGGAGGGGGAGGGGGATTGATCGGGCGGGTTGGGCCTTCGACGACGGCAACAACCGCGGCGCCCCCAATGCCTGGAGCGAGGAGAAGGGCGGAGAAGAGAACGATCCGTTCGTTGGCCAACGGCCGGACGATGGAAAGGGCGGAGCTGGCGGAGAGCAGAGGGAGGTGTTGCTGTTCACGGCGTCGGATGACGGTACCGCCAAGGCCTGGGACGCACGGAGCGGGAGGTTTGTCTGCCTGTACGCCGGGCACACCCGCGGCGTCACCTGCCTCCAGGCCGCCCTCACCGAGGTGAGCCTCTTAGCGAGACCCTGTGTGTGTGTGTATGTGTGTGTGTGTGTGTGTGTGTGTGCATCTGGTGTGTGTTGGGTGTTGGACGGTCGAAACGCTGGTCGATGGTGTCTCGTCCCTCGAGCACACTCCCGTTAGAATGTTGCAACACCTCCTGCCGCCGTGCACGGAAATGGGTCTAGATGCTCCTGTAGCGTACGCTGTTGTTGTTGTTGTTCGCTGGTCGCGATTCCAATTTGCAATGGTCGGCGGGGGTTCGCAGCTTTTCTGAGCACACGCACTGGCCTGCACCAGGCAGTGCGATGTCCCGGCGTTTTTCCTAATTAATTTGTGTCTTCGCTGGCTGCTCCTGCCGCCCTCCGCGGCCGTGCTCGTTCTACTCTCGGTCTCGCCAGAGCTACGGCCCTGTGCTCGTGACGGGGGGAGGGGACAGCGCCGTCATCGTCTGGGAGGTGAGTTCGGCTCTACAGCGTTCGTTGCAGAGCAATCCACAACTGCAGTGTTTTCCGTCGTCGATTGTGTTTCTCATTGTGTTTCGGTCCGTGGTCGGCCTTTTTTGAGACACCGACGGGCGTCCGTCCGCAAAGAGCTGCAAGCGCCTTTTTTGCCTCACGGCTTGGTCGAGTACTCTAGCGCGGCATCCGTTCACGGCTTGGTTGAGTACTCTAGCGCGGCATCCGTTCACGGCTTGGTTGAGTACTCTAGCACGGCATCTGACAATGCTTGGTGTTTTGGCTTCAGCTCCCTGTGCCGTCCCTGTTTCCCTCGCCCCAGCAGGACCACCTCGATTAGTGCTTGCTACGTGTCTTGTTTCTGGAGTTCTGGAGTCGCCCCCGCCCCCCTTGGCCGTGTGTTGCCGCTCCCTGCGCCAAGAACTCACATTTCACGCCCCCCTCGCGCCGACGCAGCTCACGACTGGGCGCTGCTTGGAAAAGCTAGAGACCGGGGCTGGCCTGGTGATCAACCCCGGTGGTCCGGGACCCCGCGTCGGCTGCCTCCAGGTAAGCCAGACGTACGCCGCCAGTAGGTAGGTGTAGTCTTAACGAGGTAGTTCGGGTCGGTTTTGGTAGGGAATACTGGAGTGGGCTGGGGGTTAGGCTTGGGGCGAGGGTTGCTTGGTTTTAGCAGGGGCTATGGGTGTGGGTTGGGGGTTAGGCTTAGCTTGGTTCAGTGGGGGTTATGGGTGTGGGCTGGAGGTTAGGCTTACGGTTAAGGTTGCGAACCCCCCCTTGCGAAACCCCCCTCTCTGCCGCATGGATGAACGTTCATTCCCTCGCGAAAGCCGCCGTTCGTTCTCGCCGCCGCCGTCCGCATCGTTGCCATGTGCCCACGTGTAGACAAGAAGCGTGTTCGCTGAATGTAGGCTTTTGCGGCGGCGGTTGTACTTGCAGCGGTAGTGGTTGATGTCCCGCCCTCTTTGGACCTTTCCCCCTTCGCGAAAAACCTGAACCAGCCATGATTTAGGCAACGATACGAACCAACGACCTAACTTACGTCCCCCCCCCCAGGCCTACAGGGACACCATCGTGGTCGGAGAAGACCGCCACGTGTCCGTGTGGTCGCTGCGCAAGGGCCAGAGGCCGCGGCTGGCGAGGTCTCGCTTCTGCGAGCACCAGCGGCCCATCCGCCGGCTTGACATGGTGGGGCCCTGGATCGTCACCTGCTCTGGGGACTATGTTATCCGTCTCTGGGACTCTAGGACGGGACTGTGTGTTCGCGAGCTGGGGGTGAGAAGGACTTGCCTTTTCTTTTTCTTCTTCTTTCCATAACAACATTATATCATCTCATCCACAGAAAATTTTCCTGGTGAATATTTCTTTTTTTTTTGTGCATTTCTGCTTCTTTTTTTGTTCGTGGGTATCGTAAGACGTGCGTGGCTGTGTCTGTGTGCATGCCGCGTACCCAGGCGAACGATGTGCAGCATTCTACTTGTTGCGATGTGGGGTCTGAGGCAGGAGTTTTGTGCAAAGGCATTTTGTTTCTGAGCTGGGAATCTCAAGCAAGGTTTGCGCCGGCCTCCCTCCCCTCTGCTAGATGCAGTTACGGTGATGCTTGTGTTTCCGCCGCCGGTACCCCTTTACCTCGCCCTCCCCCCCCAACCCCCCCCCCCCCCCC